CCCTTTGTGTTGCTGAAGGCAATATGGCTCCCGCAGAGAACCAGGGGATGGCTGCCAAGTATTTCCGCTAAATCCATAAACACACCATTAGTTCCGATACCCTCCTGATGAGACTTTAGGAAATGATGAACATTTCCCTCTACGAAAAAAAGACATTTTGGACAAAGGGCCTCTCCATAGCTGAGGAGCCCAGAAGGACCTATATAAATGAACTGCTTCACAGAGTCCCCTCCGACAGAGCCAAGTGACAATCAGGACTGCATCTGGAAAGGTGTTCAGGTACTTAACTCCTATTTGAGGACAAAGGCATCAGTGAACTCACTGGGAGGTTTAGATGGCTAGATATGGCTCTTCCAGAAAGATGTGATGCTCAAAGGCCTTTACTCGTACAGGAACAGAACTGGGTGAAGTAAATTTGGGCAATCAATCTGTTGTCCTTGCAGCACCTTTCATAGGCTGAGCTGAACTTGGTGTGCATGATGCCCCTGAAAACACACTTGTCAACCTAGTTCACCATCTTCTTTTTGTGTTATAGCAACAAGACTGAAACCACCTGAGGTGTAGTTATCCCCTCAGTAACCAGGGAACAAGGTAAGGAGAGCTGAGACTTTGAAAGGAGGTTAAAGAATTGCTCATGAGAAAGGCTTCAAAGTTTATGCATATTTCTGACGCTCAGCTAAGTCTCACCAGATCCCCATTCAGAAGCACCTTGTTTGAAGCAAACCCAGTGATCTAAGCATTGGCTCAAGTTCTGTATCACTTTGCCACTGTCTACTGGTGCAAAACCGAAGCTCCCAAAATAGGCAGAAACATCCAGGCTAGGATCTCTCCATGATTTTTTTTTTCCAGTCATAGAGTAGGGATAATAATTCTCACCTGCATCTTTGTGAGAGTTGGGAAGGCTTACTGAAGACATGAAGCAAGGCTTATGTGCCCCAAAACATGTTCTGTTCACCTTCTCCAGCTATGCTGTTGATTGAACAAAAGGTATTTCTTCTTTTTACATACCTTGCCTAATTGCTGATAGACCCCTGATGAAAATGAGCATTTTGAGTTTCTTCATTCACCAGTGAGAATACCAAAAAGTCATAAACATAAAGTAATTCAAGCAATCCACACATATAAGAAGTCAGTGAAAAAAATATGCCTGCCCATGTAAAGAAGGAATGGAAAGCTTACCTTTGGACCTGCTGGCCCAGGCAGCCCAAATGCTCCTGGCTGTCCTGGTTCACCCTGCAAGTAACAGCAATATCAGTGGTAAATGCTAATCTTTTATACATAAAGGCTAGGATGGCTCAAAACAGTCATTACATACAGTTTTAGAAATGGAAGCTTTATCCAGTATCTACAGTCCTGAGTACCACTACCCAGAGAGCTGAAAGTTTGCGGTGTCCTTTCTTCACAAAAATAAAAGCAGAAAGAGACAAACCAAAAACTGAAGTAGCTATTCATCTGCTTTACAAACACAACCACCTAAGTAGCAAGAAATGAGTTCCCTAAGTTATGAACAGCTTGCACCGACTACAATCTACAAACATGGATTCCTTGGAAATATAATACATTTGTTGTTGAATAGTGACCTTTTAGTGCAATAAACACGTCCTATAAGAAATTATGCAAGTACAAGTTTGTCACTGTCTGATCCCAGATTATGCCATGTGTGATGTGATGAAGTTGCATGAGTTCTGGAAGCTATGTGGGAAAATTATCACAATTTTTCCAAAGTGGGACAGGGTGGCACAAAGCAGAAATAGGATGTAAGTGACAGGAAAAAAAAGAGCTTTTCTGCTGCATACCACTACTTTTGCATGTGCCTGACCTTCCAAAGAGTCCTTTCCCCAAGTTCCTCCAGTCACCACCAAATGACTGCCACAAAGGGACAGTGAACGAGATGATAAAGGTCCACCATCAGGATGAAGATAATTCAAAGGGATGGTCATCAAGCAGGGGAAAGGAGGGAAAGCTCTAAAACACACTTACATAAGATTCTGGAAAATGTGTTTGTGGTTTTATGCCTCAACTGTAGTTCTCTTAAAGGCAGTATTTGGTATGCTTCATCCTTCTTTGAGCTGATCCTGCACCTCCTCCTTTGCTCTTAGCTTTTACCAGTGCACAAAAGGACTTCAGGTCCCTGCTTCTGTGACTGATATACATCTATTTCTCCCACCCCTGCCTGTTGTGCAAGCAAGAGGATGGTTCCCTGCACGCCCTGCCATCTCCGCTAGCCGATGACTCTTTGCCAGCCTAAAAACAAACGGCCAAGGTCTGCAGCTGCAGCTATGAACCAACACAGCCACAGCAGCGGGTCCCAAACCACAGGCTGCCACAACTGCCCCGTTTCCCATCTTAATGAATGGTAGCAGAGCTACCCCGTGAGCCTCTCAGGATGGCTAATCCATACAACACCTGCCATCGCTGCAAACGTGCGAGGGAGAGTGCTGCGGCTATTAACCTCCTGCCATTTGTTTCTGCCGCTCCTAAAATGGCTGTACAAATCCCCAAGACATGTTCCACTCAATACAGATTGATTTCCACTGCCTGCCTTGCACTAAAAGGCAAGGATTACATGGGAGGAACAAAAATGCTTACGGCTTCGCCTTTTGCTCCATCCTTCCCAGGGGGGCCAGGTGAGCCCAGGGACCCCTATAACAACAACAGAATTATCGTCAGCACAATATTAACACCCGTTGCAAGTGCAAGGACATGAGTAACGCATCAAGACAAGAATAAGGAATAAGGAGACTCACTTCAATGCAAACATTTATTATTTATAGTCTCTGGAGGAGCTGCTGCTGACATTAACACACTATGGCCGATTGATGAGCTGTTAATGAGGAACTAGGCACTCCTGGCCACTTAACTCATTTAAGAATAAATTAATATAAAAGCTCTGCAGCTTTTATATTAAAAAGTGCAGACACGTAACCATTGAGTCATCTTAACATCATCTCCCCTCAGCATCTCTGTCCACCATTCCATTGTCTCAAAAAAATACTGTTTTATCACTAAATACTCAATATTTTTTTTTTTACTCCTTGCTTGTACAACATCCACCCCAAAGCTCAGAAGCCTCTAGGCACAGCTATAATGCACATAAGTAATGAGCTTAAAAGCAAATAGAAAAGAAGCCTTGAAAAACTCAAGCAGTCCTCAGGAACTGCCCTGGCCACTGGGAAGCGAGTCTCAGGGCTGTGAACGTGCAAAGCCGTAGAAAACAAACAAACAGAAAACCAGGCACCACCTTTTAAAGCTTCCTATGCACCAGGATGAATGGAACTAAATATGTTGAGGTTGGCAGCACCACAGTTAACAGGGACTGCAGCAAATGCAGGGAAAAGGCAAGGTTTGCTGTGTGCAGCTGGCAATTTAAAAAACAAATGGAGAATGGAAAGACAACAGACACACAAGCAGCAAGCCAATGTACATGGTGAGGAACTGGCTCGGTGTTTTTACTTCTAGGCACTGCAGCACTTTCTTTTTAAGTGTATTGTAAAAAAAGGCTCAAATGAGAAACAGACATGGGCACTGCAAACTGCCTCTCTGTGGCAGTGATTATACTGAGCTGGTTTGTTGTGTATTATTTGGAGGTGGATCTTGCCTTGCAATCCTGAACATTTGCTATTTTACAAGAGGTGGAAAAAGTTTAAATTCCTAAAATCCCTCCTGCAAGTTATGTTTAAGGCATTTCTGACAAATGCGTCCAAAGTAAATACTAGTTGACAGAGCAAGCTCAGTGCAGGATAATTTTTTTTTTTTTAAGATGGTGACACAGTAAGCAGCTGAAGGCCATCTCGGACCAAAAGTTATTTATGTTCAGTGCAAGAAAGGACATGATAATCTTTGGCCTTCCATGTCTCATATTGAGGAAACACTGGTGTTTCTGTATGTGGAGGCATTGGCATTGAGCTTCTATTCTGTTTCACTCTTCTCTTCTGTTTCGGAGTTTTACGAAGCTTAGACAAAGTTCATGCCCTTGAGATCTCCACATGTTTGTCAAATATGGCTGAGCATCATCCAAAGGTTTAAAGATTTTAAGGTGCACTTTGCTGAAAAATAGTACAACAGCGTACTCTCCTTTTCTTAGCACCTTCCTAATAAAAAACACAGAGGTAAAACAAAAGACTTAGAAGAGGGCCTGTTTTCATTAGCCTTGCACAATAGCTTTATAAACTCTTAAACTTTTCACAGTATGATTAATAAAGACTCGGACTTACTTTTTCTCCTTTATCCCCTTTCAGTCCAGGAAAGCCGGGGGGCCCTTCTTCACCCTACAGCACCAACAGAAAAAATACCTCATATGAAATGCCATACCATTCTGTGGTATATTTGTGTATTTTAGGCAGCACAGTTATCTGTTGAGAGTTGAGGCCAACTTCTCCTCCTTGCTGTAACAATACTGTTCTCAGTCACCTGTAACTTGCCCATCTTTGAAGAGGTTCACTTTCAATTTTCCATTCCAGTGTCTTCGTCTGGCTGATCCCTCTCTCCTCTCCTTTTTGTAAATACCATTCAGACCCAGTCTTTTTCCAAGAACAAGATTAGAGACCTATCCTTGTTAAATAAAAGTATTTGAAGCATATAAACATTTCACTGAAAAACTCTCCTGTTGCCACATTTCAAAGCACGAGGACTTGAAATTTGGCATGGCCAACTTACTGCCACGCCAAATTTCCAATGGCATGGAAATTTTTGGAAAAACCCAAATATGGGAATTTTTTCCCCTTTATCTGCTCACATTAGGCCAAACTGTAACCTTGGAAGCCACTCCATTTAGACCTTATCAATAGGTACTTCTCATAGTCAACAGCTAACTTCACCAAAGATTCAGAGTAGGTTTCAGCCAGAGCTCTGTGAACAGAGCAGGACTATGCTGGCTGTTGTGGATCCCTTGGTCGTGATCCAGTAGCCTGCCTACATCTGTCCTGCATGTTCATGCTCCGACTGATGGCACCCAGGTTCCAGCATTGCTGGATTTTACAAGAGATGTTGGCATGAGTCCTTTAATGGACTGTTACCAGTGTCTCTTCTACCTGCAACAGTGGACATCCATATGTGGGATGTAAAGCCACTAGCACTGCTGGCAAATGACATGCCACAAAGCAGACCTAAGCAACTGAGAGCTTTTTCCCTATCTGCTTTTGTAAAAACCCAATAACACAGAAGAATCTTGTTGAAAGAGCATTAAAGTTGATGCATATATTTCTAAGTTGCCTGTATATATATAAAGACCACCTACATATACAGATAAACTCAGGCCAAATTCTGTCACACTCAGTCTTATATGAGACCTTTTTTCCCTGCATGAGTAGTCCAGCAGACTTAGGTGGATGTATTCCTAGGGCAAGGCTCCAGTCAATGTCAGACAGAGTGACAAAACCTGGCTTTATTTATTCATAGGTATATTTGGCATTTAAAGGTTAATAAAAGATAGTATCTGGAAAGTTTCTGTGCTGTACATGCAAATTAAAGTCATTAGATACTTTTATAATCACATTTCTTGCTAACTGAATCTTCATGAAGCACTCTGTCTAGAATTTGCAATGCAGCTAGTGGTAAAAATCAGATCTGTCGTATTTGAATGGCTCCCTAATGAGATAGAAAACTCATCAAATAGCAAATGTGATTTTTAAGGAAATCATTTGCTCTAAGAGGTCAATATAACTTGAAGGAACTGCTGTTCCATGGCAAAGTGTGCAGCATAGGTAGGAGAACGACTTGTGTCTTTTCTATGCAAAGTAAAGGAATACAGTTAATTAGCTTTTTCTCTTGCCTTTTTTTTTCTTTTTTTTCTCCATGACGTGGCAACTCCTTGGCACAGTTGAACAAATTAATCCTAGCATCAGTCAATAAGTTTGATCCACAGTGCTCATAAAGCCATTCATGCTGGACAGGACCTCGTAAGGTTTCAAGTCCAACCTCCCAGTCAAAGCACCATCAACACTGAATTCAAACCAAGTTGTTCAGGGTTGGTCCAATTTGGTGTTGAAAACTCCAACATACTTCCCAGATGCAAATGGTAACTTGCCTCCTAAGCCAATAGCATCACAGGAAAAGAAAAAGGTTTTTTTCCTTTTGCATTTTTTTCATTAACTAAAGCAGTGTGATTTTGTCCTTTTGACTCTTAACAGATGTCAAGCAGCTGCCTACAAAGATGTGAAGCCCAGAGCAGATTTGTGGGCCCTCACAGCCAAGAGACTGTATGGACGTTTGCAGGAAAGAACTGTAGACTGTCTCCCACTTGGTGACCATACATGCCAGAGGCGGTTGGTCAACCCAAACTGCCACCCACTGACCAGCTCCAGAGTTACCAAGTAGGGGAGAGGGGCTTCAGGGCTGCACCATGCTCAGGAATATGTGATCCAGCAAAGCCCAGCACTGCTATACATCAGACAGCCTGGCACAGAGCTGAGCCTTTAATGGAAATAAAGCTAGAGAGTTTTACCAGCTTGCAGTGGAAATCTTTGAGTATCCACCAGCTTTACCAGTTCCTCCCCAAGAAGAAAACTGCACAGAAGCAATATAGACTCTAGAGACGGGTTTAACGTCTCCTGGGGAACCACCACTGAACCCCTCCAGGCTAAAGAATGGAAAGGGCTCCTACTTCTGTCCCTTTCACTGACTCCCCATTAACCCTGGCTAGCTGCTTTGTATCCCCCACTACACAGAAAAACTTGTCAGGCTAAGGGTAAGCTCAGCAGCTGTTTGAACCTCAATGAAAGCACAAGAAGAGATTGTATTGCCTGGGTCAAAACTCCCATGTTAACCAAGTAAACTGCATAACCTACAGAGTGAGCAGTGGAAGAGAGCAGGAAGCAGAAAAGCATCGATGCTGCTGTGCTTGCATAGTGCCAAAGTAGCTGTGACAGGCAGGGATGGGAAAGCAACCAACAGCTTGCACCCTTAACTCACAGCCAGCTGCCAAAACCCCCACTGAGGATGCAGCTAACTGGAATGGAGCCCTGTTGCCAGAGCAATTTACTTCATTAAGCAACTCTTTTCTTTTTTTTTTAAAAAAAACCTACCCAACTTCATGAACTGCATCGCAGAACAATCACCTTTTCTTTTCACTTGTCCACCAGATTTTTTTAATCAGGTAAAATCCCAAGCATTGTGCTCAGCATGCTGCTAAGACCTAGGGAAGTGCTGGTGTACCCAAAAGGTGTCTGTTCCCTCCCCTCAACCCCTCCAATTAGGTCAGTTGGGTTAGCAAAAGAGCTCGCCTCTCTCTCCAGCACTTGTGGACTGAGGGGGTCTGCCAGCGCATCTATCCTGAAAACCACTTTCTAAAGCCAGGAAAAGTTGCAATTAGAGAATGACAGAATTGGCCAAAGAAGAAGTCACAGGGGCCTGAAATAATGTTGTTCAAGAAGAATTCTTGCTGGGGAGGTTACAGCTCCAGCAATTAAACTCAAAAAGAAGGCAGCAGATTTTCCTGATTACTTTCCCTTTTGAGGCTCATGGGCATGCTGTCCTTTTCTTATCCACTGGAAAGCAAGCCACCTATGTTTAGTTTCATCCTGTGCTGCACAGCCAGTGGCCTTTAATCGAACATTTCCACCAAAGTTAGCAAGAGAATAAACACGTTCATTAGCTCACCGTTGACAAAATATTTGTCAAAAGAGCCTAGATTTAGCAAGCTGCCA